GCAGGAATAATGGGGCTGTGACACATGGAATTGATTGAGCCAATAAAGACAACGTTAAAAGGAGGTAAAAGGTATGTCTTTCCTACTGATGATTATTAGAAAAAAGAACCATTTGGCTGACTGATTTGTAAATGACTAAAGATTAAATATGAAATATTATTGACGAAGGATTGTTTTTATTGCAGGACACTTATAAACATGAGTTATATTCATATGCAAGAGTCAGCCATTAATTGTGATATTGAATTAGGATTATGGGCAAAAGAAACTCCAAGGGTGTGTAGAAACTCCATACAATTATGTATGGAAGGTTATTAGAATGACACTGTATTTCATAGAATTATCAAAGGATTCATAACACAAGGTGGTAATCCCACAGGTACAGGAGAATGTGATAAAATATATGGAGAACCATTTAAAGTGAGATTATATTTAAAAATAAAATGAATTCCTTTTTTATTCAAAAATAATTATTGGATATATGTGTTTTAGGACAAATTTCATACAAGATTACGTTTTTGTCGACGAGACTTAATTGCTATGGTAATGCTGGAAAAGATGACAATGGTTCTTTACACTTAGTTCTACACCAGATTTGCAGAATAAACATACAATCTTTGGTAAAGTTACTGAAGAAACTATATATAACATGCTTAAACTGGTAGAAGCACTTGTAGATGAGGTAAATTGAATGTTTACAAGAAAATATATTAATAATTGATATAAATATAATATTTCCTATGTTTTGTAGAATGATAGACCAAATTATCCTTCAAGATTTATATAAACTATAATATTGAACAATCCATTTCCTGATATTATTCCAAGAATAATAGTACAGCAAAGTGAAGAGGTAAAGAACAATTCAAAAACTAAAACAGCAACAGTAAAATTAATATCATATATGTTTGCAGAATTTTGTTGTGATAGTACTATTCTTTACAATGAAAAATTTTGTTACAGAGATTTCAATCCTTTATCATTTGGTGAACAAGCAGAGGAAGGTGAAGAAGAATCTGTAATATTAAATAAAATGTTTAGCGTTAAGAGCAAATCAGCTCATGATCATTTAACTGATCCACAATTAAGCTCACAACCAGCTGTTGAACCACCCGGACTTGAAAATAAAAACAGAAAGGAAGACCATAGTAGCGATTGGGAAAGTGACGACGAAGTAGAAACTCAAGAAGAATTAGAAGTTGTAAATCAAGAGAAAGAGTTAGTTTATTGTTTACAGTATAATTATGTTATACAAAGTAGGATTTTCCATTGACTGTCTCTTATATTTATATTTTCAGAGCAATGAAGGATAGGATAAAAAATACACGAGAGATACAAAGAAGGAACCGAAGAAAGTACAAAATTATATAATAGATGACGTTGAAGATGATAAGGGTATAAAGGAAAATGAATAGGGAATAAAAAACTCCTTATGAGGCTTAGCACAAGAGAAAGCCGAGGAGATGCACGATAAGAGATGTCAAGAATTATTAGGATAACTCATGTAT